GGATGACCTTATTAGTGTATATCAATATATAAAGGGGGAGTGTCCCGAGGATGGAGCCAGGCTCTTCTCAGTGGCAAACAATGATAGGACAAGGGGCAATGGGTGCAAACTGGAACACAAGAGGTTCCACTTAAACTGGAGAAGAAACTCCTTCTCAGTGAGGGTGACAGAACACTGGAACAGGCTGCCCAGGGAGGTTGTGGAGTCTCCTTCTCTGGAGCCATTCAGAACCCACCTGGACACGTTCCTGTGTAACCTTATCCAGGTGTTCCTGCTCTGGCAGGGGGATTGGACTGGATGAGCTTTTGAGGTCCCTTCCAGTCTCTAACATACTGGGGTACTGTGATGCTGTGAACCCACCCAGGGCAGGCGTCAAGGGGAAGAAGCCCTCAGCTCCAGCCCAGCTGTAGTGCCGGGTGTCCTGCAGTGCTGCAGCCTGCCCAGGTGCTTGTGTATCATCAGCATCTTCTCTTCCTGCAGTTCCTGGTGCCTCCTTGAGTCATCGCAGCGCTGGGGTGTGGGATCAGTTACAGTGATGGGTGCCACGTGCTCCAGGCTGCTGTCATGGAGCAGCAGCCTTGATCCGAATGCCTGCTCCTAGCAGTGAGCGCTGGCTGGGCTGATGGTGCCATGCATCTCCCTGGCAGGCTGCGGCCCATCTGCGTTAGGCACACAGACATCCTGTGCCTGGTTCTCTCTTTTCCTACTTGCTCAGAACTTCATTATTACTTAATGAGATCTTTCCATTCTTGGCAACCTGGAAGAAGGTTTCATGCATCGCACGGGGCCTCTGACAGTGGTTAAAAGGCAGAGCTGGGGTGGGGTTTCTCTGCTGTTTGCTGGCAGGGGGACTGTACGACACCATTCCCCTCTTTTCCCCACTCAGAACATAGGAAGATCTTGTGGAGGGGAGAGGCGTTGGGGTGTTTTGTGTTGGGATGTGCGTGTAGGACCTGCTGGGATGTGTTGGCAGAGCACAGGTGGGGTAGGACTGTTATGAATCCCTCCTTCAGGAAGCTTTGCATAGGAAAGCAGGCCTGGGTCCCTGTTACAGCATGTAACAGCACTGACCTGGCTTTCTCCCCATATCATCCTCTTCTGCCTCAGCCAGTCCTGCTCGCCCGGCTTTAGCTGTCGTGGCTGTTCCTCTTCTCCACCCACCTCCACATCTGCATCACTTCACTGGTGTGACACGTTTTCCTTAAAGCTGCCTAAATAATTCACCTTGCCTAAGAGCAAACTGCAGCGGAGCCGCTTCCCGCAGGAAGCTTTCCGTGAATGCCAAGTGGATGGAGGGCATCCGTGGAGCCAGCAGGCTCCTGAGCTCGGTGCCTGCCCCAGCCCCAGTCCTGCTGGACACTGAGAGGCAGGTTGGTGTCCCAGCCTTCCATCAGCCCTTCTCCCAAGAGGACAGGGGTCCTGCATCAGAAAGCTGAGATGCTCCAGGCTAAGGGGATTGGATTCCTTAAGTAGGTCTGAAAATCCTTGGGAGTTTCTTTCTTCTTTTTATGGAGAAAAACAAGTCCTTTGGGATTAGGCCTGTATTAGCTCTTTCCCATGAGGCTTGCCCACCCTCAGCCTGCAGCATCGGGCTGAAGGACGGCTGCTCCCGTGCTGCTGTATCCATTCCTCGACCTCTGCATTCTTGCCCCAAAAGCCCTCAGTAAAGAGGAACTCAGGGAGCTGCCCTACTTCTCCTTGCACAGAACATTCAATCAAATCCTTTGCCATGTGCTTCCTGCTCTTGGGCTGTGTCCGGTGCTGCTTTTGCAGCGCTGGAGCTGGTGCATTCGGAGGCCGGAGCCGCGCTCAGCCGTGTCCGCAGCGAGAGGATCGCTCTGTCACCGTTTCCACATCACTCAGCTCGTCGTGCGTCACCAGCCCACGGAGCTGGAAATCCTGGCATGAGAAATGCCCACAATCGTGGCATCGAGGCCCAGTGTGTGGCTCGACCTGTGTCCAGCTCTGCCATAGCCACGGCACATCCTGGTGATGCTGCCGGCAGGTCCTGCTCCCCTCTTGCTGCGTCGGGTCCGACCGTGCACCAGGGGAGCGCAGCCGTGCGGCTCCGAGGAGTGGAAAACAGCTCGGCTGCTTCTCGCCAGAGCATTGTTAAAGGTTTCACCTCCCCCAAACTGATACATCACGAGCGAAAATAGAACAAGACAGAACACACAGACCCACCCACAGCATCCCCGCCACCCGGCAGCCAAGTGCACATGGTGCCAAACCCTGATGCGTTCTCACCCTCCCTGTCCTCAGCCATTGCTTGGCCCCGTGGCAGTGACCATCGCACTGGGAGCAGCCGTGCTCTGGTCTTTGCCTGGTGGGTCTGGGCACGGGGCTGTGTCCTGCGGTGGGGTTGGTGCAGGAAGTTCTCTCTCCTGCTGCACGGTGGTGCTGTTGAAGCGAGGCGAAGGATGGCTTTGGCTGGGAGAGGCACCTCCGGTATGGTGGCCCAGCTTGGTGCAAGCAGGAGCTGCCTCCCAACCAAGGAGCTGGGTCCAATTTCTTGAGTGCCGGCAGCATGTGCTAAGCACAGTTGGACCAGGCAAGGAGCTGGCTGGAAAACCTCCAGGAAGGGAAGGATTCCTCCAGGAGATGGATGGTAGAGCTGTCAGAGGCGCCTAACGAGGCTGAGGCCCCTGTTCACCATCCCAAACCCTCGTCTGCTCAAGAGCGGGCAGTTTTATGGCCAGGGAATTCATGGAGGCCTTCACGAATTGCTCCCCCGTGTTCTGGGGCACGAGGTCACCCCGTTAGCTGGGGCCAGAAGGAAGGCTTGTGCTTGTTCAGGAGTGATGCTATGCAAAGAGAAGTCCAGCAGAGCAAGTCTTGCCTTGGTTTCCGTGTGGAAGGAACACAATTGACACTGACCTCCATAGGGGTGCTGTGAAATGCTCATGGGTTTTGGCCCATCTTTGATGCTCTGCATCTGCTAACGCCTTGGCCAGGCACGGGCTCGCTGTCTCACCCTTTGGTGTTTGAGATTGTCCTGAGAAAGGCAGGAGGGGAACAACCTGGAAGGAAACAACCATTTGCTGGTTCTTGTCTGGTTCTTTGCTTGAGCTCAGGGAGACGCTGATGCTTGGGATGCTGGCATCATTTCCCTCTAGTGTTCTGCTGGCAGGTTTGGGAGGAGCATGGTGAGCTCTGCCTCGGCCTGTGCAGCCCCTGAGCCTGGAGGTGGAGCTTCTGGTGTAAGGAGGGTACAGTCAGACTGAAAGATGCTGCAGGCAGGACTATGGGATGCAGCCAGCACTGGCCCAAAACACCAGAGGGACCTGGAGCTGTTGGAGCGAGGCCAGAGGAGGGCATGGAGCTGCTGCGAGGGCTGGAGCAGCTCTGCTCTGGAGCCAGGCTGAGAGAGCTGGGCTGGGGCAGCCTGGAGAAGAGAAGGCTCCTGAAGGGGAGGCCTTAGAGCAGCTCCAGTGCCTAAAGGGGCTGCAGGAAACCTGGAGAGGGGCTTGGGACAAGGGCCTGTAGGGACAGGCCAAGGGGAATGGCTTGAACCTGCCCGAGGGGAGACTGAGCTGAGCTCTTAGGCAGAAGCTCTTCCCTGTGAGGGTGCTGAGGCGCTGGCACAGGGTGCCCAGGGAAGCTGTGGCTGCCCCATCCCTGGCAGTGCTCAAGGCCAGGTTGGACACAGGGGCTTGGAGCAAGCTGCTCTATGGAAGGGGTCCCTGCCTGTGGCAGGGGTTGGAGCTGGATGAGCTTTAAGGTCCCCTCCAACACAAACCCCTCTGTGAGTCTGGGGTGCAGCTCATTTTCCCCCTGCAGAGCGCTGCAGATCCCGCTCTCCGGTGCTGTTCCCCATCCCTGGTGCCGTTCCCCCTCTCCGGTGCCGTTCCTGCTCTCCGGTGCCGTTCCCGCTCTCGCCCTCCAGCCGGTTCGACTCCCACCATCCGGGGGCGGTTGGAAGCCGGCAGCTGGAGCCACCGCGCGCCAGCACCGGTTCGGCGCTGCCATGCCAACCCCGTTTCCATGGCGATGGGCACCCAATGGGCGACCGCCAGGCAAGGCCAAGATGCCTGAAAAAAAGATGCTCTTCCCCTGCTCCCAAATCCCCCCCTGGAGGCCGGGAGCCCGCGGGTGCTTCCAGACCCCAGCATTGCCCTGGGATGGGAACCGGCTCAAAACCCGCTGCGGGGCACGGGAGGTTTTAACGGGGCCGGTAAAACCCTCGGTGCCCGCTGCGAATACATCAGAACCACAACAGGAAAGGGGAGGGCGGTTTCCGCAGCCCCTCCGCAGCCCCCTCGACCGCCTTGGCTCTCAGTTAATTAAAACCCATGGATCGTGCGTAATGCAGAGGGTGCTGCAGCGCGGCCACCCCCGCCCGTGCGGTGAGGGCCCCTCGGCGGGGGGTGCCAGTGGGGCGGTGCGGTCCCCGGGGCCACCCGTCCCCGTCTCCCCTTTATGTAACGCTCTGCAGCCCCGTGTTTGTAGAGCTCCAGATTGGAGGCTTAGGTACATAGCAAAACACTTTAAAATAACTCTGCCTTTTGTGAGCACCGCAGCTATCTTTAGGAAGGGTTTGGTTTGATTTGAAAGCCTTCTCCGGGAGGTTTCGGTGGAAGAGATCCTCAGCCTGCCTTTTCCAAGGGACGGGGAGCGATGGAGATCTCACGTCTTGTCTAGGAACACTGTATTGATTATTGCTTATTGATCTGGTAAGCCCCATCCTATCCCCACAACCGCCCCATCCTTCTCAGGTTTCCTCAGCTAGACGTGGCAGTTTGCACCAAGCCCTGCCCAGGATGCACTTACCCCGTTGTCACATCCCAGGCTCCATTACCTCTGTGCCCATCTCCCTCCAGCTGGGATATTCCCAAACACACTAAAATCAGGAGGAGGACAACCGGCTCTGGTTTCTTATGGTGAACCCAGCTCGCAGGGAGCTCCCTTTCTGCTTCATGCATCCTACTTTCAGGTTTCCTGCTCTTCCCATGCTCTGCTCCCTCCAACACTCACCATGTCACCCGTTTCTCCCCCTGCAGGAAACAGGAACAGTTCCAGACAAACCCCGACAGCTACAACGGAGCTGTGCGAGAGAACTACTCCTGGTCCCAAGACTACAGTGACCTGGAGATTAAAGTGCCCGTGCCCAAGCACATTGTGAAAGGCAGACAGGTAAAGTGGTGTTAATGGTGTTATCTTCCAGCATTTCCCTTTCCCTCAGGTGCCCAGCTTGCCCGGGAAGCTGTGCTAGGAGCAGGAGGCTCCTTGTCCTCCATACTCAAGGAGGATGATGAGGCTGTGCCTTTTTCTCTGGTGCTGTGTGTATGGACCCAGCCTGCCTGTGTTCCTGTTGGGACTACAGTGTCCCATTGCTCCAGCCCTGCTGGGTTCCCTGGCACCACGTGGCACTTTCTTTCTCTGCTTCCACTGACTGCAAAGGCACACGCGGGTCTCTGAGCCTGCCTGGGGATGGATGCTCCTTCCCCAGCGCTCCCTATGCCCTGGCCTGTCTCCTGCCTCTCGTTTGCAAATGGGAGCTGCTGGGATGGCTCCTTTGGCGCTCAGACTTGACCTGCTCCGGGTGGAAGGAGCTGGGGCCCCTCTCCCTGGCGGCCTGCATGGCCAGGGGGGTCTCACCGTCCTCCTTGGCTCAGACAGGGACTTCCCTTCTCTGTCCCATCAGCTTTTCTTCCCTACTTTTGTCCCCCCATGGTGCCCGTGGCTGGCTTTAGCTGGACCCAGACCTTTGAACTATCCTCTCTTTCCAAAGCGCTGCCCTCCCCACGGCTGATCCTGGATTTTTCCATTTGGGAAGCCCTTGCTCCCCCACCTCCTGTCCTCCTCAGCTTCCAGGGCAGCTGAAATGAGTCCGCTTGGGTTTGTTCCCCAGCTCCAACCTACACAGCTCCGGATCGTGCCAAAAGAGTGTAATTGGCAGCAGCAACCCGGACCAGAGGGGTGAGGGAGCAAACGGCTGCCATGGGGACAGCAGGGGACCGGGAGGTGCATCGCTCCCAGTGGGTCTCCAGAACAAACCAGACTGTTTCTTGGAAGGATTCAGGGGCATCCATGTGGATGTTCCATCCCTCTGCATCCTATTGCCACCACGATGCTTCTCACTGCCCAGGGAAGTGCTCTTTGTACGGGGGAGGTTGTGTCCTTGCCAAAACAGAAGCCCATGAGGCTTTGCCTTGCCCTGTCCTTTGCCACTCAGAGGCACAGGGGCCTCGCCGGAGCAGGAGGAGCGGGGCCAGGATGTGTTTTGCTGACCTTCCCTTGACTCGAGACTGGATTCTCTGAGTCTCCCCCAGCAGCAGGGGGCTGGGAGCAGATGGGCATGGGCCAGAGCAGGTGGGTCAGAGCCATTCCAAAGCTCAGTGGATGTGGGTTCCTGCAGGGAAGAGTCATTCCCCTGCATTCAGCAGCACACCTTCATCTTCTGTAAAGATGATCAGGTTCTTGGCTTCTCCCTGCCAAGGCGAGATTAAAACTCTCCCCGGTTTGGTCGCCGGGCTCAGAGCGTGCCCAGCTCTAACGCTGCTCAGAATCCTCCTTCTGACACTTTTTTGGATTCAGGCTGTTGCTATGGCACATTTACACTCGGGAGAGCTTAAGGTTTCCTTGTATGGAGCTCCAAAAAGGTGCCCGTGGAGCAGGAACGGGTGATGGGGTGGGTGGGAGCATCTTCCCCTGTGCTCTCTGATCTACTTACAGGAACAACAGGGGCCCGCGGGGCTGAGCACTTAACCCAAGATGATGCCAGTGAGCACTGCCTGTGCCTGGCCACAGGAGCCCGGCCGGATGCCTTCAGAGCTCGGGCTTTGCTCCGTTGGATCCCTGAGTGATGTGGGCGTTTTAGCAGGCACAGAAACCACCGTGGTGCAAAACCAAGTCCCGGGGCTGCTCGTGAGCGGCGTTTTGTGGGGTAGGGGTGCTTATGGGGAGCTCACGGGGTGCCACTGCTTGTGGCTGCGCTGCCGGCACAGCGTGTTCCCAGTGGGATTGCCCTTGGCTTCTCTGCAGCGACTGCCCAGGGTCTGGTGCTGCTTGTTCGTGCCTGGCAAACCCCGGTGTTGGGGCTGTACAGGGCAGGATGGGGGAGTCAGAAGGAGGAAAGGCAGCCCCTCAAAGAGCCCGGGCATCCTCCCATGGGGTGGGGATGGTGGGCAGAGGTGGGGTGAAACCCCACTGAGATATCTGAGCGCTGCCACATGCACCAAAGCCTGCACCCAGCGGGCACCACGGTGTGTGCATATGAGTCCTCTTGGACACGTCTCTCCACCCGAGGTGGGTCAGGGCTCTCTGGGGATGCACGTGCCAAGGGGGGCTTTGTGCTGGCTGCAGGTAGAAGCCCTCGGTGAAGGCTGTGCTGAGAGCCTGGGGTCAGCATCCCTGAGCAGTGACCAGGGTCCAGGGCAGTCAATGGTGGCAGGGAGCAGAGCCTCATCCCCACACCTTGCTCTGTGCTGCAGCCTCTCTGGAGATGCTTCCCATCCAGATGCTGTCTGCAGCCATGTGCCAGGGAGATCCCAAGGGAGCTCCCGTCCCTTCCCTGATGCTGTGGGACCATGGTCCTGCTCCCAGCTGGCTGCAGGGAGCTCGGTGTCACACTGGGCTGCGTGTCCAGGCCTGGGCTGCAGCCCTGGCAGGTCCCTGTCACACACAGCGGGTCTGGGGGCTGTATCTGGGGGTCATCAATGAGATGCAGCCACGGTGCCCGCCCCAGCTGGAGCGGCTTTGCCTGGCTCTTGCCTGCGTGGAGCTAGTGAGCTGCTGGAAATCTCCTAGGTAATGGATAATGTAATAACATTTCAAATGAGATCTGCAGAGCAGGAGGAAGATCTGGGGGAACTCTGGGAGAGAATGCAGGCAAATCTCACCGCAGTCTCCTCCTTTTGGGCCAGGGATGGGGCAGCACTGGGGGCCCCCAACCTGCCCCTTCCCGACCGGGTCCTCCCTCAGTCCCCAGGCCTGGCTCGGGCTCTGCTGGCAGCAGCTCAGGACCAAAAGGGAAAGCAGGGAGCAGATGGTCTCTCTGGAGAGGAAGGTTCTGCGTGCGGCGCAGCAAAGCTGCAGCCTGCCTCTGTCTCCCCAGGGGAGAGGCATGTCACCTCCGCGGCAGGTCGGAGCAGGGTTCCCCATATGGCTGCTGTGGGCAGGAGCTGGCCCTGTTCCTGGGGATGGAGCTGCCTCATCCCCTCGTCCCTGCAGCAGGGAGAAGGGAGCTGGGCTGCAGCATCCCCTCCTCGCACCCCGGTGGGAGGCCGGGGCTGAGCCTGCCCTGCCTCCGGCAGCCTGCGGTGCGGTGCGGTGCGGTGCGGTGCGGGGCGGTGCGGTGCGGGGCGGTGCAGCAGAAGGGACAAGCTGCTGCTGCTCTTGCTCCTGTGGAGATCCCTGCTGGGCAGGGAAGCGCTCAGCCCCCAGGAAGACACCCAGCGATGATGCTGGGCACCCAGTGTGCGGGCTCACGGCGAGTGGGCACCCAGCCTTTGAGCGCTGTATGGAGGAGGCCTGTAGCCATTGCTGGGTTTCTCTATGGGGAAACTGAGGCACGGGGCAGGTGTAGTGCCTGCTGTCCTTGTGGGGCTCCATCGCTGGGCCCTGCAGCCTCTGATCCCAGAGAGGTTTCCTCTCTCGTCCGAGCTCTTGCTGCGTGCTGAGAAACAACAGCGGGATCCCCAGGCTCCTGCTACCCATGGGGCCGAAAGCTCCTTTCTCCATCTCATCCCCAGCGAGAGCACTTGACCCCGCACCCCATGCAGCACAGCAAGAGGGCAAACAGGAGCCTCCCTGCTTATTCCCTCTCTCTCTGTGTCCCCAGGTGTCTGTGGATATTAGCAGCAGCACGATTCGGGTGGCAGTGCTGGAGGGGAGCAGCCCGCACGTCCTCATGGAAGGGAAACTCACCCACAAGATCAACACGGAGAGCTCCCTCTGGAGCCTGGAGCCAGGGAAGTGTGTTTTGGTAAGGGACCCTGCAGCTCGGCTGGCCTTGGCTGGAAAACCGAAGCACCTGGAAGTGTGGGCCAGGTCTGGACGTGGTCTGGCTTTCCCTGTCCAGCATCCAGCTCACCCTGCCCTTTGTGTGCTGTGCCTTGTCTCTGGCTCCTGAGCTGCCCCTCTGAGCAAGCTGGCAGAGCAGCACAGCCTCTGGGTTGGGTGAGGAGGGTTCCCAAGCTGCAGCACATCAGTTAACCAGAGGTGGTCACTGGCCCCTCATCCCAGCACATGAGGTCTGCTGGCAGAGAGAGGCCGTGGCACCGGTGCTGCCTGCCTGTCCTCACCAGCTTTGTCCTCTGGTTCTCCTGGCCCTGGTCCTGCGCCAGCATCCTGCAAATGCCTGTTCATAGAATCATGGAAGTGCTTGGGTTGGAGGGGACCTTAAAACTCATCCAGCTCCAACCACCTCCCAAGGGCAGGGGTGCCTCACAGCAGACCATGTTGCCAAAGGCTCTGTCCAACACTGCCAGGGATGGGGCATTTACCCCTTCTCTGGGCACCATGTGCCAGCGCCCCAGCACCCTCACAGGGAACAGCTTCTGCCTTATCTAACCTGAACTCCCCCTGTTTGAAGCTCTGGCTCCTTCTCTGCCTTCAGCAGGCGCCACGGCTTGTGGTGTGCGTGTGCCCCTGCACCACAGATCTTCCCTCTGCAGGTGGTTCAGGGGCTGTGCCTGCCCAGTACTGTGTTACTGGTGGGTAACACGCTCGTTTCTGGTGTGCTCAACAGGCTGAGGTTGTGAGTTCTGTTCCTGGCTGAAGCTGGCCTGGGGGTTGTGTTGCTGCCCATCAGCCTGGGACCTCAAGGGTCAAACAGTTGCCAAGTTCCTGTTTGAGTTTTGGGGGCATTACGCATCCGCATGGATGTAGCAGGGGATGACAGAGTGGTACCAAGAGAGAGGAGCTTCTCCAGCTCCATCAGGCCATGTGAAAAAGGAGGTGGTGGCATCATTAACCTGGGTCTTAAAGTTCTTAAGCTTCTTGCAAATTAGCTGATCTGGGAAGAGAAACACTTCTGGGAAGGAGCAAACTCGTTCCATAGGAGGTGGCTTTGAGACGGGTGACTGCAGAGAATCCCTGGGGCATGTCCTGAGCATCAGTAAGGGACGTGATGTTTATTGAACACCCGGTGCCAGAGGAGCAGGATGGGAGTGACAGGCAATGGAACGAGACTTGGGGCAGCGTGGGGAGCAGTCCCATCACCTCCAACCCCTGAGCTGGGTCCCGCCTCCCGTTAGCGCGAGCCCAGGGTTGTGAGGCTCCAGCTGGCTGCCAACATATTGATGGTGGGATGGAGTTTCGCTTGAAGAATTGTAGGTAACTGGAGCAGAGTGAGTAATTCCCGTCCAAGAGCATCTCCTTTTCCCGTGTGCTCAGTAGCCAGAAGTGGTTTGTGATTCCTCCCGATCCATTCATCAGGAGATACCCAGCCATGTGTTTATGACCTGCTCCGTTCAGTGCCTGTAGGACCCTTCTGGTCACTTGGAGGCTCACAGGGCTCACGGGCCCTTCCTGTTCCTGAATTTGTGCATCCACACATTGTGCATCTCCGTGTGCGGGGTCGGGAGAGGCTTGGTCCTGCAGGATGCTCTAAGCTGGTACCTGGGTACCCTCCCTGAGACCTGGGGCTGGGGGCATTAACAGCTGGAACTGCGTTCCCCAAGTGCCAGCACGGAGTCATCCGAGGACATCCTCAACACCTTGGATACTGCTTGGGCCACCTCAATGGCTGTGGCCAGAGAAAGCCCCTATGTGCTCATGTTCCTGTGGTCTGTGATGTGAGTTGAGGCAGTCCCTGCTGGCGCAGCTTGATCCACGTGCCAAGCTCTCTTCTGCTTGCTCTTGTCCATCTGGGAAGGCTCCAGTTCTGTGCAGAGAGGATATTGAGTCCTGCACACTCCTGCAGCCACATCAGTGATACCTGTGCGCTCCAGGCTCTTCCATCCACACATCCTCCTGCCCAGGATCCCATCCCAGGCCCGTGCCAAAGCCCTGCTCCCGGGTGTAGTCCCTGTGCTCTCCCTTCTGTGGCACACCCGCTCGCCTGTCAGAACTGAGGTTAAAATAACTCCACACGAGCTGTTTTTAGAAGTCCCGGCTGGGTGTTGTGCACAACGCGCCTGCTTGGCGATTATTTTTGTGGCTGAGGATTCTTTCCCCCTGGTCCCTGTCTTTGGCTCCTCCTCTCCAGCACTGGTTGTCCACACTTGGGCTTTTGTCACCAAGTCCTGCCTTGAGCAGCGATCACAGTCTTGGGTTTGTCATCTCGTGAGCTGCAGAGCCGAGGTAATAACGATCCATGGTGTTCTCCCTCTGTCCTGCGCTCCGCATCCTTCAGGGAACATCACATCCCCAAACGTCTCCCACTGACTTTGCTGTTCCCAAAGGAAAGAGGAGGTGAGAGGGTGTTTCTCTAAGACTTATATCCCTTGACAGCATCTCTGCAGCTCTGACAAGGTGTTTAGGATCCTCATGTTGTGACAAAGCCCAGCACTGGCACCAAAGGGCTGTGAGCTTCCTGGCAGGGCATGGAGCTGTGGCGTGACCCTGTGTGCATACCGGTGACATCTCTCACCCTCTTTGTGCCACCGGAGGATCCCTCAACGTCTCATCTGGGCTTGGAGCTCACCTGGACTCATTGCAGCCCTTTGGGCTATGGGTTAAAGGCCTCCCTGCAGCCCAGGAGGCCCTTTGGGACCTGCCAGCTGGGAAAGCAGAGCCGCAGTCTGACCGAGAGCCTGGGCACGCCGCAGGGACCCGATCCTTCAACTGGTTCATGGCCATGGGCATTTATAGGACCCCAGAGCTCCCATCTGGGAAACTCATAGGTTCAGCTTCAAGCACTGGCAAATCAAAGTGAGGAACATAATGGGGTCAAGATTTGTCCTTGTTCCCTCCCCTCTGCTCCCTCCTGGAGCCCATCAGAGCCTTTCTCCATGGGTGGGATTTGCAGGACACCCCCCTGCCCGTGCTGAGACCGGGGCTCTGCCATAGGCTCTTGGCTTTCCTTACCTCCACCTTGGCGAGGCTCCAGCCTCTATCTCCATCACTACAACCTCTTGCAGGCACCCAACCAAGTAACGGGCTGGATCAACTGAGGCCATTGGCAGGGATGTCTTGGAGAAACCCCTCTGAGCCTGTGCTTCCATGCTGGAGGCTGGATCTGCCCATGGCAAGTGCTCCAGCACCGCTTCCAACTCAGGGTGGTAGAGGGAGAACTCTGCCCTGGCCTGCTGGCGTTTCAGAGCCTCACATCAGAAAGTGGAGATCCCACCTGGGAACAAGTCCCACTTTCCCATCTCTCCACGTGGGATAAAGGGGGATGAGCAAATTCCCCCCATGCACGAGGAGCACCATAGAAATGCTGCTGAGGGAATGGATTGTTCCATCTGCCCGTCAGGGTGGGAAGTGGGATGTAGTCCATAAAGTGAGGGCCACGTGTGGAGCAGGGGGAGGAAAGGATCCCCTGAGGGACTGTGGATGAGGGGATCCACCCCATCCATGCCTCTATGGGTTCCCTGGGGCTTGCTGGTGGTGGAGACAGTGGCAGGGCACCAGGGATGGAAGGGAATTCGGTGGGGTCAGGATTTGGGATGGGTTTTCCTCCCCCTGCTGCTCTGGGATGGAGGTGGGGTGATGGCTGACAAGCCATGGAGTCTTACCCCATCCGTTCATCCCTCTGCTGCCAGGCTGGCTCTGGTGGGGACAGCAGCAGTGCCGTGAGAGCTCAGCTCTGTGGGACATCCCATCCTCTTGGTTTCACCTCATCCCTCTTGCTTGAAAGCCTGAGGAGCAGCAGTGGGCCTGGAGTGTGTTCCTGATGTGGGGCCGCTGCTGCCCCATGGCTCATCCTGCTTCCCAGGAGATGGCATTCCCAGGGGAATTCAGCATCCCTCCACCTGCCTGCCCAGGGCTGGGAAGCCCACAGGGGCTTTTCCTCCGCTCCGATGGAGGAGAACAAACACATCGTGAATGCCTTCCAAGCTGGGATGTTTCACCCCTGCTCCCCCATGATTAAGCCCCAGTCACCCCCTCCAGTATCCACTGGTTTTCCTCTTCACGCTGCAGACACATCTCCACACCTTTAAGAGCTGCCTCCCTTTTCCCCTCCAGAGCTGGGGAGCTTCCAGGGAGCTTTGGGTAAATTGTATTGTCTGCCTTTATTGATGGCTTTGCAGAGGCTGATGAACGCCATAAACCTGCCTCGCTGCTGGGATTAGAGCTGGAATCACACGGGAGGAAGGAGCCCACCTCTCCTGGCAAAATCACATCAAGGCATATGGGCGTCACAGTTTGGAATGCCCCAATGGTGGCATCTTCACCTTCACTGTCACCCACATGAGGGCTCCTGGGCCAGAGGAAGGTGGGATGAGGGCACTGCAATGGTGGGAGCTGCACGCTCTGCCGGGCAGGGCCCCTTCATCACATCATATCCCAGGCTGGATTGGGTTAAAGGGACCTTAAAGCCCATCCAGCTCCAACCCCTGCCCCAGGCAGGGACCCCTTCCACTGGAGCAGCTTGCTCCAAGCCCCTGTGTCCAACCTGGCCTTGAGCACTGCCAGGGATGGGGCAGCCACAGCTTCTCTGGGCACCCTGTGCCAGCGCCTCAGCACCCTCACAGGGAAGAGCTTCTGCCTCAGAGCTCAGCTCAGTCTCCCCTCGGGCAGGTTCAAGCCATTCCCCTTGGCCTGTCCCTACAGGCCCTTGTCCCAAGCCCCTCTCCAGGTTCCCTGCAGCCCCTTTAGGCACTGGAGCTGCTCTAAGGTCTCCCCTTCAGGAGCCTTCTCTTCTCCAGGCTGCCCCAGCCCAGCTCTCTCAGCCTGGCTCCAGAGCAGAGCTGCTCCAGCCCTCCCAGCAGCTCCATGGCCTCCTCTGGCCTCGCTCCAGCAGCTCCACATCCTTCTGGTGCTGCTGCCCCAGAGCTGGATCAGGGCTGCAGGGGGGTCCAGAAGGCCCCAGAGCGCAGCAGAGGGGCAGGATCCCCCCCCTGAGCTGCTCATGCTCTGGGTTTGCAGCCCAGCACAGGGGGGGTGGTTCTGGCTTGGGGCGATGCCTGGGCATAGCTGAGCTCATAGTGGGGGCTCCACATCCCAGGGGCTCCTCTCTGCTCTCTGACCCCCGTTTCACCCCCAGATCAACCTGAACAAGGGGGATGAGTACTGGTGGAACGCCATCCTGGAGGGCGAGGAGCAGATCGACATCGACAAGATCAACAAGGAGCGCTCCATGGCCACAGTGGACGAGGAGGAGCACGCCGTGCTGGACCGCCTCACCTTCGACTACCACCAGAAGCTGCAGGGCAAACCCCAGAGCCATGAGCTGGTAGGTGCTGCCTGCCCCACACCACCATGGGGCAGTGGTGATGGTCACACCCCCAAGCCTCACCTCACCCCACAGCGTCAGCCCTGACCTGACAGGAGCCTATGTTCTGTGTGCAGAAGGTGCATGAGATGCTGAAGAAGGGTTGGGACACGGAGGGCTCCCCTTTCCGCGGCCAGAAGTTCGACCCCTCCATGTTCAACATCTCCCCCGGCGCTGTGCAGTTCTGACAGCGGCACCAAAGGAAGCGGGGAGAGGAGGAGCCCCCCCCGGGGAGCCCCCATCACCCTGGTACCGGCCCCGGTGCTGCCGTGTGAACCGGATCCACGTCCCATCACCGCGGGCACCCAGCGCTGGGACCCTTCTCCCCTCACCCCTGCTGCCGCCGGCTCTCCTGCGTTGTGGAATAGACGGAGCTCATTGGGTGACACAGTCGTTATCCCTGGGGGATGAGGATGCTTCTGTTCGGGATTTGGGATGGGGGAACCCTCCCTGCCCTGCCATTGCAGAGGGCTTCTAGCGGCCACCAGCCCCTCCGTACCCGCAGCGCTGTGGGGTCTGGGATGGGAACGCAGCCCCTGGTGCTTGCAGCTTCCCACTGACCCCCACCCTGTGGCGAGGGGGTCCCTGCCCCCCCACCCCCTTACACCCCCCCGGCCCCCCCTTGGTTTGCAATAAACACATTTCTTGAGCGCGGGGCCTGCAAGTGATTCGCTGCCATCATGGGGGGGGGATGGCCCCCCCAGCACAGGGACACACCGGGGGCCCTGCTCTGCAGATGGGGGTCTCAGTGCATGGTGGCCAGGGATGGGTTTTGGGGTCCTTGGGGGTGGATCTGGGGTAACCGAGGGGGGGGGGTTGGGTTTGTCGGGGTGGGCGCCGGGTGCTTGGTGACTTTGGCAGTGCCAACCTCGGGGTCTCGCCCCACTGCTGCCCCCCGCCCATCCCCGTGTCCCCATTCCCCCCCCCCCCCCGGCTCCCCCGCGCTGTGGCAATGCACAAATAGAACCAGGCTCGGCGCAGCCCCCCTGGCCCCCCCCCGGCCGCCCACGGTCCCCATGGCAACGGCAGCGCCAGCCGCCAGCCGCCCACCCGCGCCCGGGGGGGGGCTCCCGCTGCCCGCGCCCCGCATCGCCCCCGGCCACGGTGATGGGCGCCTACGGCCAAGGGGAGGGGGGGGACACCGCGGTGTGTGTGTGCCCCCCCCCCCAGCCAGGCCCTGCGGCTGCCGTGGCCTCTAGTGTGTGCGTGTCCTCAAAACAAAGCTGCCCCCCCCCGCAGCAGGGCTCTGGCATCGGGGGGCTTCAGGGTGCCCCGTTGGGGGGGGGGATTTTTGCCCCCCCCCAGCCCCTTCCCCAGTTGGGGGGAGGGATTGTTTGGGGTGACACTGGGAGGGTGCGGTGTTGGGGGGATGATGGAGGTGGGGTCCCCGGGGGGGCTGATATTGGGGGCTTGGGGGTGGCACGGTGGATTTGGGGTCCTCGGGGGAACGTGCGATCCCGGGGGGGGGAGGTGTCTGGGTGTGGGGTGGGTGTGTCACCCCCATGGGGGGGTAAAGAGACCCGGGGGGAAAAGGGGGATCCCGGGGGTCCGGGGGGGGGGGGGGGGGAAGACGACACCGGGGGTGGTCCCAGCGCGGGGGCAGGGCCGGGGCCCGGAGATGGGGGGGGGGGTTGGGGGGGGGAGATCCCGTCCGGGGGGCGGCGGGGGCTGTCCCGGGCTGGAGCCTCCCCCGCCCGCGGCGCCTCCTCCCTCCCTCCCTCCCTCCCTCCCTCCCGCCCCCCCGCGCCGGGCGGAGCCGGAGCCGGAGCGGAGCCGGTGCCGGGGCTGCTCATTGCGGCGCGGCGCGGCGGCAGCATGGCCACCACCGTGCCCTGCACCCGCTTCACCGACGAGTACCAGCTCTACGAGGAGATCGGCAAGTAAGAGCCGCGGACCCGGGGGGGGGGCCAGCGGGCGGGGGGCGCTGCCCGGGGCTCCGGCCGCCGCTCGGTGCAGACGTGACGCGGGGGCCCCCCCCCCCTCCCCTCCGCCTCAACCGGGACCGGCCCTGCCCAGCCCCCTCCCCCGGGACTGGCCCTGCCTCCCCCCCCCCCCCCTCCCCGTTCTTTACAGCCCGGACCCCTCCCCCCCCCCCCCCCCGGGGACTCCCATCCTCACATCCCCCCACCAGTCCTTAGAGCCGCCCTTGACCCGATCCCCCCCCCCCCCCGGTCCTCACAGACCCCCCCCCCCCCCAGACCTGATCCCGCCCCGGGTCCTGCAGTCCCCCCGGTCATTACAGCTCCCCCTTGCTCCTATAGACCCCCCCATCCTCGCAGCACCCCCATCTCTCCGGATCCCCTTATGGACACCCAGACACCCCCCCTCTAGCCATCATCAATGCCCCCCAGCGCTTACAGACCCTATAGACCTCTTTAATCACGATAGAGACCCCCCCATCCGAATCCTTATGCCCCCCCGTCCCTACAGGCATCCCTCATCATCCTGACCGTCCTTGAGTCCTCTTGGCTCCTGCTCCCTTTAGACGCCCCCCGAGCCCCCCACCCCTACAGAGCTCCGGAGCTCCCCACCCATCCCCTCGCCCATGGCCCCCCCTCCCCGTGGTCCTTGCAGACCCCCCACCCCCCCTTGGACCCCTTTGGGCCTTACATAACTCCCCAAATCTGCCCCCCCCCCCCGCCAGTCCTTAGGAGATGCCAGCCCCAATGGACGCGCCTAAGGACCCCCAACCCCCGGTCCCTCCATCCCTTACCCCCCCCCCCCCGTGCAGGTGTTGGAGGAGCTTGGTTCGTTTGCGGGGGACTCATTTGCCCCCAGGGCCACGGGGGGGGGGGGGCGCGGGGGAAGAGGCAGATCAGCCCCCGACCTGTGTGCGGGGGGGGGGCATAAAACGGGGAGCGGGGGGGGCAGATCCCATTGGGGTGGCAGAGGGATGCTCTGCTGGGGTTACCAGGGCTCCCTTTGGGGGGGGGGGGGAGGTGTTGGTGCCATCGGGGGCCATTCCCTCGTTCTCCCCAAAATGCAGCCCGTCCTGGTTGCCATGGCAACGCGGTCCCCATCCCCCCATCCCTCTGTGTCACCCACCAGCCGCTGCGTGCATCGCCCCCCAGCCGGGGCTGTGGGGGGCATCGGCCCGTGGGAAACTGAGGCACGGGGGGGGTGGGAGCTGGAACCCCCCCCAGGACCCTGTCCCCGCGGCCCTGTGGGGAGGGGATGGGGTCCAGGGAGTCCCTCCCATCCCATGGCCATGAGGGGGACCTGGGGCACAGGGGGTGGACAGGGTCCGAGTGTCCCCATGGGACCTTGGCATGGGACTGCGGAGTGCAGGCATAGCGGGGGCACTGCTGCCTTAGGGACAGGCAGGAGATGGGCAGGGGACCGCAGGGACAGTGGTGCTGGGGGAGCACAGGCACTGGTGGCACCAGGAGGGGCTGCGGGTGAGCAGGTGCTGCTGCCGGGCATGGGCACGATATCCCCATCCCTGGGGCTGCTGCTGCCTCCCTGTGCCCCGGTGTGCTTGCAGCCAGGCCCTGTGCTCACTGCCATCATCACCATAACCACTATCATCCCCATCTGCATCATCTCCATCATCCACTTCCCCATCATCCCCATCATCCCCATCATCCTCATCTCCATCATCCCTTTTCCCATCATCTCCATCATCCCCTTCCCCATCATCTTCTTCCCTATCTTCCCCATCATCCCCATCTCCCCCATCTCCATCACCCCTTTTCCCATCATCTCCATCATCCCCTTCCCCATCATCATCTTCCCCATCTTCCCCATCATCCCCATCTCCATCATCCCATTTCCCATCATCTCCATCATCCCCCTACCCATCATCCTCTTCCCCATCATCTCTATCATCCCCTCCCCTATCATCCCCATCATGCCCATCATCCCCATCATCTCCATCATCTCCATCATCTCCATCATCCCTATCATCTTCATCATCCCCATGCCCATCAACCCCATCCTCTCCATCATCTCCACCCCTATGATCTCCATCATCCCCATCATCTCCATCATGCCCATCCCTATCATCCCCATCATCTCCATCATCCCCATCCTCTCCATCATCCCCATCCCTATCATCTCCATCCCCTCCATCATGCCCATCCCCTCTGTCATCCCCATACCCTCCGCCATCCCCATCCCCTCCATCATCCGCATCCCCTCCGTCATCCCCATCCCCTCCATCATCCCCATCTCCTCCATCATCCCCATCCCCTCCATCATCCCCATCCCCTCCATCATCCGCATCCCCTCCGTCATCCCCATCCCCTCCGTCATCCCCATCCCCTCCATCATCCCCATCCCCTCCATCATCCCCATCTCCACCATCACTACCATCACCATCATCTCCATCATCACCTTCACCACTATCATCCCCATCATTCCCACCATCATCATCATCCCCATCAACATCGTCACCATCCCCATCATTTCCACAGTTCCCATCACCATCATCCCCATCCACATCATCACCATCTCCACCACCACCATCACCCCCATCATCCCCATCACAATAATCTCCATCACTCCCATCATCCTCATCATCATAATCTCCATCACTCCATCATCATCATCATCCCCATCATCCCCATCAGCATCTCCACCACCCTCATCACCCCCATCACCACTACTGCTACCACCATCACTGCCACAATCCCCATCATCCCCATCACCACGGCCATCGCCACCATCCGGGCCACCCGCTGTCCCCATGGCAACAGGCTGCCGGTGCCGGATCCTTCCCGCACCCCCTCCCCGCCGTGATGCTGCCCCGGCCCCTGCCACGCTCTCCCTCCCTCCCCATTCCCCTCCAGCACCTCCCATCCACAGGCCCTCGGTGTCAGGGCCCCCCCCCCGGCGCGGGGTTCACCCCCTGCTGCTGAGTCACGGGCAGTGCAGCCCCGTTCCTGGGTGCTGAGTCACGGGGGGGAGCCGTGTTTGGGGGTCGGGGGGGGCTGAGCCCATCCCTGCTCCCCCCAGAGGCGCCTTCTCGGTGGTCCGGCGCTGTGTCAAGCTCTGCACCGGCCATGAGTACGCCGCCAAGATCATCAACACCAAAAAGCTCTCGGCCAGAGGTAGGAGCCCCCCGGGACTCCCCCGAGGCACCCCTGGCCTGGCCCCCAGTGCCCGTGGGGATGTGCGGCGTGCCTGCGGCACCCATCACACCCAGGGCACCATCACATCCGGGGCACCCATCACACCCGTGGTACCCATCACACCTGTGGTACCCATCCCACCCAGGGCACCCATCACCCCCGTGGTACCCAT